ATTACTTTTGACATTTTAAAAGATATGTTTAATGTTTTATATTTTAGGGTTATTTATAAAATTTATTTATATTGTTTTAAAAATATCGTTTTATTGTTATGAGTTCTTAAAATAATAAACTAAAATATCATTGTTTCTCGGAGTTTGTTTGTAATTTTTCGATTTATTTGTTTAAAGTTTCTAAACTTTATTTCCCTTTTAGATTTGTATTTGAAATGAAAATTACGCCCTTATCAAATATGTTTATTATTGTTCATCATTCTTTGTCTTATAAAATATTAAATATGATATTAAAATAATAAACTAAAATATCATTGTTTCTCGGAGTTTGTTTGTAATTTTTCGATTTATTTGTTTAAAGTTTCTAAACTTTATTTCCCTTTTAGATTTGTATTTGAAATGAAAATTACGCCCTTATCAAATATGTTTATTATTGTTCATCATTCTTTGTCTTATAAAATATTAAATATGATATTTTCAAAATTCAATTTTAAATTATCTTGTATATATTTAATTTATTATAAATAAATAAAAATAATAAGAAGAGAATAAAAATCAAATCAAAACAAAAACAATGTGTTTCAAATGTGGCAGATGGTATATTTTAGGGTTTGGACACAGAAGAAGAGGTGGTGGAGGTGGAAGACAAGGAGAAGGTGGAGCATGGAGACGTCCAAATGTAATTCATCATACAAACACTATTTATCAAACAACTGTAATTGATCGTACAGATTATAAAAGAATTCACGAATTAGAAACCCAATTAACAGAAATGACAAAGAATAGAGATGAATGGAAAAAAAACACGGAAGATATAACAAAAAATAGAGATGAATGGAAGCAAAATTCAGAAAAGTGGGAGAATCAAGCAAAAGAATATGAAAAACATAAAGAAGAAACTGAAAACAAAATAAACGAAATCTTATCTTCTCACCTTAATATTACCGAAATAGAAAATTTGACAACAATCGAAAAACTAGATACTATTTTAAACACTATCAAACAAGAAGTTAAAGAATGCTTGAAATTGCTGGAAATACTATTCCAAACTGGTGATAGTTTGATGTCGATGCTCAAAAAATTAGTAAAATTCTGTGAAGAAGTAGGAATAACTGGTCCTGTTCAAGAAATTTTATTAAGATGCTTAAAAAAATTAGACCCTAAAACTCAGATAAATGATCCTAAATCTTTTAATGGAAACCCTGGATATAGAAGTATGGACATTCTAGTAAAAACATGTTATGAAAAAGGTTGGGTAATAGATTCTGATCCTGAATTTATTGGTAAAAAATTTGAACCCGATCCTGAACTTTCCTTTGTTAGGAAATTAATGAGATGCCATTATTATATGGTAGGAAAAAGTAACCTATTTAGTGTGAAAACAATGGTAGAAAATTTGTTTTCAGTAATTAACCCAAATCAAGAAAAATTATAGAAATGCTTAAAATTATTAGACTTTCAAACTTCTGATTTTAATCCTAAATACGATTACATCGATGAATTAACAAAAGCGTGTTATGATTATAGACCAACTAAAAATAATCCTAAATATAAAGACAGAAACTATCGTCATAAACGTAATATTAGCTTTATAAAAAAAATAAATAGATGTTATTTCTATTTGATCAATGAAGACCATAAACTAAAAAATGTTGAAACCAAAATTGATGATTTAATCACAATATCCAAACCAAATCAACAAAAATTATGGAAATGCTTAAAATCATTGATGCCTCAAACTTCTGATTTTAATCCTAAATATGATTACATCGATGACTTAACAAAAGCATGTTATGACTATGGACCAACTAAAAATGATCCTAAATATAAAGACAGGAACTATCGTCATAAACGTGATATTAGTTTTATAAAAAAAATAAATAGATGTTATTTTTATTTGATCAATAAAACTCACTTAGGAAAAGGTGTCGAAACAATGATTGATGAATTGGTAAAAGAAAGTTCTTTGATTGGAAATAATAACTAGTAGATTTTTTTAACAGAGTTTTTTTTATTTACTTCGATTTATTTTACTTTTTTATTTTTTATTTTTTATTCATTCTTATGTTTCACAAACAATTTGTTATATATATATTAAATATAAATAAATAAAATTTCATAAATTGTAAAAAAATATCGTCAACGCCACAATCTGGAGTTTTAAATAGCTTAAAAGCGCTTAAAGAAGAAAATGAACGCTTGAAAAAACAAATAAATGATAAAAACAACGAAAATAATACATTAAACCAACAGTTAGAAAACTGTAAAAAAGAAAAAGATCCTTTGAAAAATACTAACGACAAATTAAAAAAAGAACTAGAAGATTGTGATAAAGAAAAAAAAACCTTGAAAGATAAAAATAAGAATCTCGAAAACGAAAATAACAACCTAAAAGACGAATTAAAAAAATGTAAAAAAAAAGAACAAACCGAAACGGCTCTCAGAGAAAAAAATAAAGAACTGAAAGAACTATTGGATAAAAGTGAACAAGAAAAAGAACTTTTAAAAAAAGAAAATGAAACGTTAAAACTGGGGTTAGAAAATTGTGACAAATTTTACACGGTATTAGATAAAAAAGCGAATATTATATTGGATAACTTTATTGTACAATATGAAACAACAAGCGATTTAGATTCTAAAATTGATAAAATTAGCATAGTTAGTTTAGAAATTAAAAATATTCATTAAAATGCATATATAAATAAAGTATAAATATCATTTTTACAAATAAAAAATGTCAATTTCCAATGAAATAAACCGAATTGTAAACGAATTAGAAGCTCTAAAAACTAAAAATAAAACCCTTAATGACGAAAATAAAAAT